TGCCACCAAAGACTCGGTTCCAGAGCAATGGGAAAGAAAACAGTGATAAGCAGAAATGGTTTATATGACATGCATGTTTTTTACAGCTTTGATCAGCTTGACATGGCAGTGTGCTTTGATCCCTAGCAGCGTGGTGGAACCTCATTTCCCCCATATCAAGATGGAGAAAAGTTGTTGTCTGCTAATGTGAGCCAGATGAAGTCTAAAGACTGATACAAGGTTTCAGGAGAATAAGATTAACACAACTATTATCTATATTTAGTTTTGTTCGTTTATTTGGTTTTGTGACAGTATCGGCAAGTCATCTTGGAGTGACCTACTTTAACCTAAACCAGTGTTTTGTATTGTTCATCGTGGGCTGCTTGTGCCAAGGATGACGCATCACTATGAGGATCTTTATTATCAGTATTAATTTCAGCATCTGAAAGTACTTTAATGCATCTAAAATGTTGAAATATATGTTATTTGTATAACTCTGAATAGGAAACCATTGTTTTTATTTCACAATCTCCCATGTCATCAGTCAGCTGATTATTTGATTGTTATGCTGAAATATTGTATGGACAAGTATTGGCACACTAAGCAGTAACATTCCCAAAGGTGAGTAATAGTCTCCATCTTGATAAAGTGTTTGGTGAAGCAGAAGTAACGCTCCAGGGAGACATGAGTCAAAGCTGTGGCCTTTTGTGCTCCTACGGTCCCACTCCTGTGACTGTACACAACTTTATGGCAGCCGTTTAAAGTTTGTTCATGGAATTATTTCTGTCTAACTTATCACGCTGACTTATGACTCATTACAGACAAGATGTTATATAAGTGACACTTGAGGGCTCGGAGGGCACAACTTGGTTTCCGCCCCAGGGCAATTGCTTGTTTTGATCAGGTTTTGTTTTTGTTGTGTCATAAGTTTTGTTTGTTGCGCTCTGAGGATCTTTGTTTGTCGGTTTCACCCACAAGCATGCATAGTGTCTTGACAAAAGGATTACAAATATTCAGAGACGATACATTAGACAAGCTGTTCATTACTGTTTCAGTTTCATTGTCAGTGTAATAATGAAGTGAGCAACACAGAATGACTGAAAATAAAACAGAGGAAACACAGAGGCAAACCTCTTGGAAAGCCAAAATAAACCGAAAGTTTAGTGGGGTATAAAAACAAAACTATTCCCAGAATAACTGCAAGGCACAGCAAACTCAGCAGGGCTGGGTAAAGTACCTGGACGTGGTGATGGGGTAACGCTCCCTCCACATCAAACACACTGTAGCACAGTCTCTGTGTCCCACCACAAAGTCAACAAACCAGTCGTCATAAAACACAACGCAGCTGAGCGAGGAAGCTGGCCAAAGAACCACATCAACTGTGGCAGACAGGAAGTGATTTTTGCGTTTATAACTGCCTGCTAGAAACATACCATAAGACATAAACAGTTTGCTTTAACAAGGCAGGGTAGAAACTAAACAGGGCATGTCACAATTAAGGACAGGGTTGCAAAACTTGCAATACACTGCTGAACTGTAAACACTGAAGAATCTAGACCAGCTAAATAAAATCAGCACATAAAACATAATGAGTTTTGGTTTTCACCTTGAGTTCTTCCTGACCTTAATTTGCCAACATTTACACCACGTCTACAACATGCAGTAGGAAGGATTTTGTTGTACTCTGCCTCTTTGTGTTTTCGCAGCTCAAGAAAAAATAGAGAGAGGTCACAAACGATGACTTTTTGATATTCCATGACTCTGTTATTGCTTGGTTAACTTAAACATAAAGATCCCGCCCACGTGAGCTGTGAGGGTTTTGCCGCTCTGCTATGATATTATCCAGTTCTCTGACGCAGTTGGCCAACTCATCCAGTCGTGGTGGTATGTGCCAACAGGCTGAGCTGTGATTGAGGGCAATTTTGGGAATTATGCCACACAAAAAAATGTGTATTTTTCGAGGTTCTGTGCCAGACGTCTTTTTGGAAGCAAAGTGGTGAAACCAAATGAAATGTGGCATTTGTTAAGATGCATGGAGCCGTTTTCATTAAGTCTTTGACGCCATGTAAAATCAGTGGCAGATGTTTTCAAAGGAGGCCTGGGGATCCACTGAGGAGCCACATATAAACAGAAATAACCTTATGATTGTGTCTGAATGACCGTAAAAAACTGCATCAAATGAAAGACGGTCTGCGCATTTGAAGCAGGATAGAGATGCTTCAGTCTGAATGAAATGTAATCCACGTCCTCAAAATATTCATGTAGCCCTACAATATAAATGTGAGTCATGTAACATGTCTGTTATAAATGTCAATACCCAGGACATTTTCCAGTTCATGCAGACTTACATTTACTGTCTTCCATGAACAGTGTGTTTGGTTTGTTATAAAGAATATCATGTTAAAAATGTGGATATAAAATACGAGTCAGCAAAGGGCAGCAGGCATAATAAAGTTAACTGACATTCTTGAATACACCTTTAAACAAATGTATGCTGAACCATCAGTATCACTGTAAAGATCTGGAGCATTGTGTGTACTATCAAGAGTGGAGTTAGACATTATGACTTAACTATCCAAAAGATAAGTATTGCTGTTGGTGAGAAAATAAACAGTAGACACAACATTGAAACAAAGAGGAAGTACTTAATGGGGAGAGGATATGACAACATCTTGTGGATATGTCAACAGTTGTGGGATGGATGATGTATGTGTCAAAATGTGTGAAGCACCAACTCCTTCATGAAACCACTGTCTGAATCTTCAGTCCACCTTTTCATGAGGACACTGATAGGTACAAATTGACCATATAAGGCATGTCATTAGAGAATCTAATTACTCACCCTGTTATGTTGATTTTGTGAAGAAAAGATTTTTCTTGCATGCCTCTGTTGAACAAAGAATCCAAAAACTGAGAAAATTCTTGATGAATTAAAGACATGGGGGCTGCATTTAGCAACAGCAAAACTACATCAAAACATCAGTTTACAAACTCCCACACAACTCGTGCGGTATAGTCTTGTTTATCCAGCCCTTTCCAGTGAAACGTATCTATGCTCTCATCAAAGCCAGATTCCATTGACAAAAACAATAATTTTACCACACTGAACATCTAAGTCACTGGTCTACCACTGCTTTGATCACTTAGTTTTGTTTGTGTTTAAGTGTGATTTTGCTGAATCTGAATCAATCCATTAAAAACACCAAAGTCACACAATAACACAAACAAACTTACTGATCAAGGAAACGGTAATCCAGCAGCTCCCGTGTTCTGCGAGGTAAAATTGCTGTTTTTGTTAATGGAGTCTGGCTTTGAAGAGAGCAAAAAGTTTCACTTCCGTTCAATTCCCCATCACAAAGGGCTGTCTGCTTGGGAAGTGCTGAACATACAACTGGATTATAGACTTGGATTATAGTTGGGTAAAAGTTTGTTCACTCTTGTTTTGACATAGTTTGGCTGTTGTTAAACACGGACCCCTATGACTTCAATTCATCAAGAATTTTCTCCATTTTTGAATTCTTCGTTTACCAGAGATGTAAGAACAGTTTTCTTCATGAATTCAGTGTAAAACGTGGCAACTAACTGATTTACAAATTGTCATCTGGGGAGTTAACTATTCCTTTAATTCTTTCTAACTCTCCAAATTAATAAAGTCTGCATTAGTTGCAGCTTTTGTAGCCACCTTTTTTCAACATGGCTTGGATGGTGACCAAAAGTATTTTGACTTGGCTCATCAGAAGAGTTGTTTGTTTTTGAGCAACTGAGTAAACATGTTTGCACAGAAAGAAAGGATGTCAGCAGCGTGCTCCCTGAAAAAAAAAAGTCCCTCATCTGCAGCTTTGACCATTCACGTGGGAACACAAGTGAGTCATGATATGCTGGCTGAGACACATTGTTGCCCACAACACCTTGATACTCGCATACCCCAGAATATCAACATGTACCAGTGTATACACACCACTGTAGGTCTATACTCAAGATTACAGATTAGCCAAGTTAAAAGTAATGTTATGTAATGAGATGTGCATGAGAAATAGAGCAGATCCAATTTGTTGGAACATGAGGGGAACTAGTCATTGCCAAATGAGACATAAAAGTCATTGCTAATAAATTGGGTCATCTCCGAGATGAAGTCAATGACGATGTTGCATCAGCAACAACGTACAGTGATGATGAAGCAAGTAGTTCCCCAGAATCTTGCCAACAACAAATCACATCACAGTGACAGAGGGATTTATTAATCACCTCAGTCATTTGTCATGAAATTTTTAATTGAATTAAATCCCAGAAAAAGAATAACAAGTGGGAAATTTTCCATAAGAATCTACTTCAGGCTTGGCCTAGTTTGACATTTATTCAGCACCCAACTATAGATAAAGAGGAAATAAATCTCTATTTATAATAAAAAGTGGAACAAACTTTTTTTTTATCATTACTTTGAGCCTTTAAATAACAGAAGTGTCTGGCTGGGTCCCATGATTAGTGTGTTCCATTCAGGTAAAAAATACATTAACATGTCAGGAATAGCTTTTTGCATCAATTAAAAGGAAGATAACGACAATGTGCACTGCGCATCTAAACACTGAGTGTATGCTCTCTTTAGGTTATTTCCTTAAAGCTTTTTTGTAACCATTTTTTTAAAGACGTAACAGCAACTTAAAGTAAATAATTGGTTGATCATTTGTGTGGGTTTTCAGGCAGCATGCTTTACTTTATAACATATTATGAATGCAACCATAATAATTTGCCATAATTGGTCTTATCCACCACTGCCATTGTTCACCCCCTCCAACTCGACATATGTCCAAAAAAGAGCAATTAGCTAACCACTCACAAGTTGTTAGGTAAAGCTAAATGTGGATATTTTGGAAATTCCCCTTGCCCATTCAGTGCAGTCCGTCAAGATGTAAGTGGGAGGGTTGAGGTTAGTAGTAGGCGGGGGCGAGGTTAGGTGACTAAGACGTCACATTGCATAAAAACAAGGTCCACAACCAAGGGCACACAGCAGAGACAACAAGAGCCACCAGTCAAAACAAAGAAGGAAGCAGCAGTGAAGGAGAAACACTGCTGATCGTCAGCGGAGAAGCTTTTTAATCCTTTTTGTCTCACTGAGCACTCATTCACTGCGAGGCTCGTATTGTCTATAATTATATTTTTGTTACATTTTGCAGAAATCTACAGCAGATCTCATCATGAGGTGCTGTGCGTTAGCTGTGTGTTTAATTTTGGGGATAAGTGTTCAGAACGGATGGAGCATTCCTCTCAAGACCCGCTTTGTCACCTTCCCAGGAGACATCCTCAAAAACATATCTGATAATGAACTGTCAGAGGTGAGTCATTTTGTCCTGATAGATTGAATTTCCCAAAACAGTGTGCAATCAGCCTGTCCGGGGAAGTAATTATCTGAATAGAGATGTCAATCATAATGTTAATGAAAAGAAAAATATTTAACAGTTTAACAGTGAGAGGATAGAATTTAATGTGTTTTTCAAACTAAGATTTTTTTTACAAGGACCCACTCTACTCTGCTCATCACATGATACAATCATCCACTTGGACTCATTAATGTGGTTTCTCATGTTCTCCTGCCAGAATTATCTCACGAAGTTCGGCTACATGCAAAAGCTGCACCGCAGTGGCTTCCAGTCTATGGTGTCCACTGAAAAGGCTTTGAAGAGGATGCAGAGGCAGATGGGGCTGGAGGAGACTGGAAAGCTGGATAAGTCCACCCTGGAAGTAATGAAGCGGCCTCGCTGTGGAGTTCCTGATGTGGCCAACTACCAAACATTTGCTGGAGACCTCAAATGGGACCATAACGATGTCACTTATAGGTGAGTAGAGACTTGATGACATTATAACACTTGTGCTTTGCAATGCAAGGCACCATATACAGAGAGCATCTCACATGCAGATATATCACGAAGTATCTTTACATTATCAGTTACAAGTCTGATAGCAGAGTGTCACTGTGCTCTCCTCCACAGGATCATTAACTACACTCCAGACCTGGAGAGCTCCCTGGTTGATGACGCCTTTGCCAGAGCCTTCAAGGTGTGGAGTGATGTGACCCCTCTGACTTTTACCCGCCTTTTTGATGGAACGGCTGACATCATGATTTCATTTGGAAAAGCTGGTATGTGTTTGTGCAGTGGTCATCTGTCTTCTCCATATTGCTGTCACATTGTTGAGTTATAATTTTGTATTAAACACAAGTCTAAAATCAAAAACTGATGTGCACTTTAATTTTCTATTCAGACCACGGAGACCCATACCCATTTGATGGTAAGGACGGTCTTCTGGCCCACGCTTATCCCCCTGGTGAGGGTATGCAGGGTGACGCCCACTTTGATGATGATGAATTTTGGACTCTGGGAAAAGGAGCAGGTAATCACACATACCAAAACAAAAAACTCAACCACCAACTGTTAATATGAGGCTGTCTCCCCCCAGTGTTCACTGTATACATTGCATTGAATGTGTTTTTTTTTTCTGTCATCCAAGTTGTGAAGACTCGCTATGGGAATGCTGATGGTGCTCTGTGCCACTTCCCCTTCACCTTCGAGGGCAAATCGTACACCACCTGTACCACTGATGGGCGTTCAGACAACCTGCCATGGTGCGCCACCACAGCTGACTACGGCCGAGACAAGAAATTCGGCTTCTGTCCAAGTGAACGTAAGCTTGACAATTTATTCTGCAAGGGGAATCACAGGCCAGAGGTCGGCTAGATGAGGTTTGCTTTAGTGGTATGCTGATTCGCTTCACCTGCTCATCCTTGCCCCTTCATTCTCATCCTGACAGTTCTGTTCACCTTTGGAGGAAACGCAGACGGAGCAGAGTGTGTCTTTCCCTTCGTCTTTCAGGGGGAGGAATATGACAGCTGTACCACAGAAGGCCGCAGTGATGGCTACCGCTGGTGTGCCACCACAAGCAACTTTGACAAGGACAAGAAATATGGATTCTGTCCCACTCGTGGTGAGTGACAGGAACCACAATGCATAAATGCAAGAGAGCTCCACCACAATGGGTTGTTTTCTTACTGTTGTTTTTGTTATGTCTTTGTTTGGCCAGACACCACTACAATCGGTGGAAATTCTGATGGAGCGCCGTGCCACTTCCCCTTTGTGTTCCTGGGTAAAGAGTATGACTCATGCACAAGCGAGGGACGAGGGGATGGCAAGTTGTGGTGCGCTACCACTGACAACTATGATGATGACAAAAAATGGGGTTTCTGTCCTGACCAGGGTAAGTTATATGAATATAACCTGGAGGAAGCAGAGTAGACAAAATGCTTTATGTCTTTACCTTTGCCATTCAACAATATTCCTTACTCTATGTGTTCCAGGTTACAGTCTGTTCCTGGTGGCAGCCCATGAGTTTGGACATGCCCTTGGCCTGGACCACTCCAACATAAGAGAGGCTCTCATGTACCCCATGTACAGCTACGTGGAAGACTTCTCCCTGCATGAAGATGACATTGAAGGCATTCAGTATCTCTATGGTGAGGTCACGACAAACTGTGTCATCATGCAAGATCACATCAAAATGTTTAAATTTCCAACTTCTCAACACTTTCTCTCAACTGACACTATCTTTTTTTTTTTTTCAGGACGCAAAACAGGCCCTGACCCCACGCCTCCTCAGCCCGACTTCACCACCACTACCCCCTACCCAGACCCTGATGAGACTGACCCCACAGATGAGCCAGACACCACCACTACCACCACTCGACCTGTGGACCCGTCCATAGATGCCTGCAAAGTGACCAAATTCGATACCATCACTGTGATTGAGGGAGAACTACATTTCTTCAAGGACGGGTAAGCAAATCAGTCTCTTCTTTGTAAAAAAAACAGAAACATAAAGCAGCAGCGCTGATGTGTTAATTGCATGATTCGATCAACAGACATTACTGGAAGATGTCCAGCAGGAGCAATGGAGGGCTCAAGGGACCATTTTCTATTTCTCAGAGGTGGCCCGCTCTGCCAGCAGTCATTGACTCTGCCTTTGAGAACATGCTGACCAGGAAATTGTACTTCTTCTCAGGTAATAAAGCTTTCTGCAGTGCATAAAGGGCCATTGGCACTTAAGCCAAAAGTGCAAGACCATTTTTTCTAATGACTGTTTTCCTTCTATAGGGACCCGATTCTGGGTGTACACAGGAAAGAGTGTCCTGGGTCCCCGCAGCATAGAGAAGCTCGGCCTCCCCAGCACTGTTCAGAAGGTGGAGGGAGCACTGCAGAGGGGGAAGGGCAAAGTACTGCTCTTCAGTGGGGAGAACTACTGGAGGTGAGTTAAATTTATGCTTGAAATCAGGATGGGATGCTGGAAGCTTTACAGCTCAAATTCAACCCTGTCTGCTCTTTGAGCCAGCCTGTTAAACCCCACCTCCACTGTGGTTTTCCATTCAACTGTAAAGCTTTTTTACAACATAACCAAAGTCTACAGTTTAAGACAGCTGATGGTTTTTGACATTTTTAATGACACTTGCTACTATAATTAACACAGGCTTGATGAGAAGGCCCAGAAAATCGACAAAGGCTACCCCAGATACACAGATGTTGTCTTTGGCGGCGTCCCCAATGATGCTCATGATGTGTTCCAGTACAAAGGTAATTTCAAATATTTATCTACTGAGCTAAATAAACAACATATAACAGTAGATTGTTGCATGTGAGAATTCTCATGTTGCATTCTAGTGATTAATGTCAATATTTCTGCTTTAGGTCACATCTACTTCTGCCGGGACCGCTTCTACTGGCGTATGAACTCCCGCAGGCAGGTGGATCGTGTTGGCTATGTGAAGTATGACCTCCTCAAGTGCTCAGATGGTTCAGCCACTCGGTATTGAGGACGTGAACACAAAGGGATGAGCTGGAAATCGTCTGTAATGTGGTAGCACCTATTTCTCTCTCCTGTGCAGGTGTCAGGGAAAATGTGATGCATTTTTTTGTGTATAGCGCCTGTTATATGATGTGTGTGCTTTCTGGGATGTGAATATTTGGCCACCATAGATGTTGGCTAATTGTATAGCATACAGTAATGGCCTGAAAATAACTTAAAAGCCCAAAGGAAAGCAAAACCAACTGTTATCTCTGGTGCTGCCCTGCCCTCAGTCTGATCATCTGTGAACTGGTTGGTTAAGGTGGTCGAAAATTTGACACCCGTATCCACAATTATAATATTCTTAAAAAGGTATCTGGATTCCGGATTTTCTAAATAATTTCTTTATGTCTGACAGGTTCAGATTCTTAACAGTATTAGATTATTTTGGTATTTATAGCATTATCTAATATTATTTTTGTGTCCTAGAGCTTGTTTGTTTTGTATAATTGTATGTGTGTATCTCTGAAAATGGCTTCAAAGCCAATTATTGCACTGGAAGACAATGCATGTCTCCTTCACTGAAATTATTTATAAGACTGATATGTTTTGTATTAAAGTTCTAACTTTCAATGCAATAAACATTCTGTGAGAAATACATACCACTGTCTGCTGTCATTAGTCCACTAACATTAACTGACGTGCACAACACTGCCATGCCAACACATTAATATTATTCGACAGTTTTAATCCATGTCCACGCAACAGCAAAAACATACAAATTTAATCCATGACTTTGGCTATATAAATATAATTTTATTATTCCTGCTATATCGATTATTAACTTCTCCCTCTTGGAAACAACAGCCCAAAGCGTATGCATATTACTCCGCATCCAATTGCGTAATACGCCCTCCTCTCAAAACAATAGTCCACTTAGTGTTTATAAACAACACATATACCGTATATCTGAAACAACATACAACGACCAATCGATCAGTAGGCACAAATTGGTAAAATTGGCAAACATTTCACTGTTTGGTTGAACACCGAAGCGGTTTCAGCAAAGATAATAAATAAGATCCGGTTGCGCGGACAGGAAGCAAGGAGAGTCTCATGGCGCCCGACTAGAATGGAGCAACAATTATCGGTTACTAATTTCTGTTCTATTTAGCGCATCTACACTAAAGGATACCTCTCTACTCGAAAATACACGGTAAGAAAAAAGCGTGGAGATTCTAATGCCGGAGAGGGAAAATATTTTCATTTTCTTCAGGGAGAGAATTTGGGCGGTCTGCCGCAGCTCAGGCCCTCGAGGTCCCCAGTAGAGCTTTCAGAATGCCTGAGTGTAAAACGGGGCTACCCTGTGTAAAATGGCGACGCGGAGCAGGCAGGACGAAGGGCAGCTGGGCCCGTATAAAACGGCTAACACACGTTGTGTTGGACGCTGTTACACTCGATATGTTGTCATGGCTAGATCGGTGACATGTTCTTCATTCAGCCGCGTTACCCACTCAACCACTGAAACTGTCATTAGGAACAATTATATTTGTTTTGCAGCTTTACAGAAGACACGGAGCTGACGATAATGCTCGTGAGCTAGCTTAAAGCTAACGGTAGCTACTCTGGCTCACCGTAAGCTAACGTCAGTTCCCGTAGCATCAAGTTTTTTAAATAACTTTGCTGCTTTGCATTACCGATGTCATTTTACAAGTACAGCCACACTTGACCAGCCACAATTTGAACTGTTCATCCCCAATAGAGAGATCTTTAATTCACACAAACATTTACGTCCTTGAGTGAAAACACTTCATGCAGCTAACTGATGCAGACAGATGCTAACGTAGGCAAATGCTAACATGACTTGTGCAGAGAAACAGCCGGAGAGAACCAGTTCTGTGTTCAGTACACTTATCTCCAATCAAGAGTTAATAAATAACGAACTCACTGAACACTCACTGAAATTAAAGTTGGGAAAAGACCATACACAAGATGCTGAGGGGCGAAGCTCTAACATTGAAATACACATATACTGTTTTACTAAACTGTGCATTGTATCCCAAACTCCCACTCAGCCATTATCAGTGTAGTGAAGTTGAAGTATAAAGTTTCAGAAAATAACATGTCTGAGTACATCAAAACTCTTTGTCAGAGTACATCTCAGTAAATGTACTTTTGTTATTTCCACCCCTGGGTATAAATATTGCCCAGCTTGCTATTTTAAACTTTGTTTCCATGTGTGCTCCATTAGGTACATTCCGACAAATCCATCTTTGGTATCACATTTCATATATAACCTTATAGGGACACACAAAACATTTTAACTGTATACACATACAATAAGCTTAAGAAAGAGAATATTATGTTTTCTGGAAAATTGATCACTTGACCCTTTCCCACAGTATATGTCCTTACTTCATCACAGTTCAGATAGTTTGACAAACTTTATTTTCTTTGCTCTCCTATCCAGGATGTCTGCAGGTCTCGAAGCCCATACTATCGTTTAAAAGTCATTCCACACTTTGCTGTTGATCTTGTGACAAGTAGCTGAGACTACAAAATATTTTAAGCTGTACAAATACTCCCAACACTCAAACAGAGCTGTCCTGTGACAAGGAACTAAAGAACTAGCCATGAGTTGTGTGCATCTTAACACAATGAACTTGCTGCACTTCAAATCTGATATTAAGTTTGTTTCATTTTTGTGGATAGCCATGGATTCGGAGGACAATGAGGTGGAGAGCAGCAGTGATGCAGGGCCCTCCGGGATGGAGGAGCCATCTGAAAGTGGCATGGGTATGGAGTCATCGGAGGCCATGTCTGCAGACAGCAGTGATGCTGCTGCCTCTCATGCTCAGGCCCCAGAGTCTGACTGCCATGTGGGACAGAGCTCAGAGGGACTTGTGGTAAGCTTTTTTTTTTTTATGAATAGAAAAATAAATCGGGTTTTTTTTTGTGTGTTTTGGAGAAAACAGTCATACACTAAATGCAACAAAACCAGATTCAGCAGTTTGTCTTTTGTCACAAAAGTTTCTTGATCACCATCATGTTCTGGCCCCTCCCTGTCAAGGTGTTCATCCCAGAAACCAGCTCCAGTACAGACGTCAGAGTTTCGTCAGTCCACCTCCCAGACTCCTCCTCAGTGGCCCAGTCCACCAGTGTGTCCAGCGTCTCCACGGTGACTCAGTCAGTGCTGGTGTCTGAGTCAGCCCAAGTGCTGGTCCACTCCAGTGCTGCGTCTGAAGGAGCCATGATGGTTTCTGACTCAACTGCTTCTACCTCGTCAGACCTCGGGTCTGCCATTGACAAGATCATAGAGTCCACCATTGGCCCTGACATCATGAATGGTATTTCTACTGACACTTCACTTTCCGTCATATCATCGCCTGAACAGCTATAAGGTTGTGTCATTTTGATTAGTTTACCATAAAGTAGCAGCTTCATGATCCTGTGTGCTGTTCTTTCGTTAGGTTGCATAGCTGTGACCAGTGCAGAAGATGGAGGTGCAGAAACCACCCAATATTTGATATTACAGGGACCAGATGATGGTAAGTGCATTTTTAAAGTTAATGAGAAAATCATGACCACGTTTATATATAATTAAAACAATATGCTCTGGTAGGTGGGATGTGACTCACTGAGCATTGATTCATAGAGTGGATAAATTATTAAACCTTTCCATGTCAACTTGTTATGACACAACTTTAGTTTAGCCTTCTAGCAAGTTTTGAAGTAATTTAAATCCACTGAAGTTGATAACATGGGAATCATTTTTAATAAATTATACATGATCCATCTATATGTATGTGTCCACTGTAGGAGCTCCTATGGTAGCCCACATGTCATCTTCAGCCCTCTCTGATCGTATAGCCATAGAAGCTCTTGTTGAAGGCCCCACGTCCACCTGTCGGGACCAGGGAGACCTGCAGGGCAACCTCGAACCTGACCAGCCCGATGATCAGCCAGGTCACTCGGGTTACCCAGAGGACAGCAGCAGTCACCCTGACCAGCCCCAGCACTCCCACCCCTCCCAGTACATGGACTGCAGTGCAGATGGTCCAGACCAGACAGGGGAGTCTTCATCTTCATACGCAGAGTGTTCAGGCGAGGAACCTGACCAGACACGCTCCCAGTCAGGGTTCCCTGACTACAGTGGGGATAACAGTGACCAGGACCTGCCTGGATATGTGGAATGCAGTGGGGCCGACTCAAACCCCACCAGCCGAGGCCACTATGTGGTAGAATGCAGTGCCGGATACCTGGAGTGTGCGGTGGATGATGGAGAGCAACCACATCATTCACGGAGTTACATTGACAGTAGTGCAGACCACAGGACACAGACAAGTCGTCAGTATGGGGCAGCGTATGGAGGGGAGTGTGTTGCAGCTGCAGACTCTGAGCAACCAGGTTGTTCTCGGTATCAAGTGAGGGACGATGATGATGATGATGAGCAGAACCAGGATCCAGACCAGCCACAGCACTCCCAACAGCAGCCCCAGCACTCCTGTTACATGGAAAGCAGCAATGGCCCAGAGGCCTCTCTGTATGCCGATGACAGCTCCTCATCAGACCACCCTCTGGCTGACACTGCAGGTTCAGGTGGGCTTCCTGAGGCATTGGAGTGCAGCGAGAGCCAGCCTGGGCCCTACATCAGCAGCAGTGGGACATACACTTCCAATCCAGAGCCTGAGCTGGCTCAACAGTGCTCACCCAGCCAGGAGGAGCCTCAAGGCTCCCAGGGGCCACAGGATGAAGCTGGGCTGGTCAGGGAGATGGAGACATCGACGGTGGCAGAAGGCTCCGGAGACAGACCACCAAACCTGGCTGAGTTGGAGGAGATGATGGAAGTGGTGATTGTACAGCAGTTCAAGTGTAAGATGTGTCCATACAAAAGTGCCTCCAAAGACACACTTATTAACCACATGAGAGACAAACACTTCAAACCTGCAGGTAAGGTGGCGTGATTATAGGTCACTGAGCTTTTTTGTTCTTAGATTCTTAAAAAATTTTAAATAATTTTTTTTGTGGTGTGACGTCTGGTTTTTAGGGGAGATGTCAAAGAAGCGTAAACGTGGTCGGCCTCCTAAAAGTGAAACATTTGCCCGTCGCCAGGCAGAGAGGGAGGAAGCTGAAGAGAGGAAGGCAGCAAAGGCGAAGGCTGCTCAAGCTGCCCGACAAGCAGAGGAAGAGGAGGATGATATTGTGGATGCTGGTGCTATTGATAACCCTGGAGGTCAGTTAGGAAGATTATTATTTAGCCCTCAAGCAGATTAACATTCATACTTTTCTCAATTAGTGAGTCATTCAGAGAATAAGAATTATAGTCAAATACCCCTCCCTGTGCTCCTTTCTTTATTCTCAGAGGATAGTGACTACAACCCTGCAGAGGAGGACTGCAAAGGTAGACCACCTGCCATTATGAAGAAGCCCACTCCTCCTATATCCTCCTCCTCTCACGGGCGTCCTCGTCGTAAGGTTGGCCGTCCGAGGAAGTACAGCCTCATAGAAGAAAGCTACAACAGTAAAGGTCAGTTTTCAGCTTTGACAGAACAAAAACAGCCAATTGCTGCACAGAGAGGAGAGAGACACCATAAATTGTACAGCTTTAGGTTGCTTTATTTTCATTCTCCTTTCTCATTGATTTGTTATAGAAGCAGAGA